GTTTGTTTTGGCCTTGTGCTGACGCAGTCCTGAGGGGTTAGAAAAGACTCTTGTTGTTCCCCACAACCTTCAGGAATTTCTAAAGTATGCCACATTTAGGAGAAAGAAAGCTTGCGGGGGAAAAAGTGAGGCAAAAGCTCCCACAGAAGATAAATACTCATTTCAGTTCTTGCTATGTGTGTCTACTAACGGGTATGTGACATTACTTGTTCCCGTCATTCAATCAAAGCAGTGTTTTGTTGAGTTCACAGGAAAATGGGCCTGTTTTTGAAGTAGGATTATATTTAATAATAATAATGGGTTTCATTTATAACGCACTTCATATTTGAGTTCAAATCCCGAAGTGCTACAAGCAGTGAGCATGGAACAGAATAAAACAGTACACAACACGGTAGAATTTAATAAAAAGCAGTAAAAACAAACAATACAAAAATAAATACAAGGGTAGTAATAAATCAAATAAAAGGTCTAGGATAGGAAAAGGCTCTATTGAACAGATGGGTTTTGTTTAGTTTTCACATACTGGAAGCGTGTCTCATTGATACAAACATAATCTGTTTTTGAAAATATTCCAGTAAGTCCCGGCTGGTGGGACGACAGCAAACATTTCTAAATCCACTATTTCCGCTCTATTTCACATCTGTCTTATGTTGATAGTTAAAGTTTTTTTTTGTGCCTGTTTGGAGTTGTAAATGCCATGATGTTTGTTATATTGTGAATAAATTAAGCTCTCCCTCTCCCTCTTGTGTACCACAGTTCTTTAATCCTCTCCAGAGTGAGCTTTACTTAAGTCAAAAACAGATGCAGACACATGTATCCAAGGTAAACATTAACAAACAATTGACACAAATGTTGGCTACATTACATATTTATGCAACAAATGGTTTAAGTTGTGTGCTTCTTCTTCTTCAGTATCAGTTGGTCACATTAGTTCTCATAGTTGGTAGTCATTCAGTAGTTGAAGCTTTGCTGGAGTGGTGTTTCCTATCAGAGCTCATCTCTGCCCTCTGCAGCTCCATCAACAAACTGCTGCTGAGGGAGCGTTACTGTTTCTGGACTGGGAGCAATAATACACCGTTTTTAAACACTGTTGGGGAGCTCCATAATCTATAGGGAGAAACACTATTCAAAATCTTGATTGCTTTGTGAAAAGGGAGGAAATCTTGTCTTTTTGTTGAATTCTATACGGCACCAAGTCGGTCTTATATTCAATGCTTATTATTGTTTGAATTCAGTTTCAGCTAACGTGTAAATGGAGTCTCAGCAACTTGAAAACAAGAGGAAATAATGTAGGACTACTGAATATAAATATTATTGTACTATACTACTATTGATTTACTTTAGCTTGCAAAACATTAGACATATCAAAACTGGACACAACATGGTTCACTTTAAATTGCTAGCTTCACCAAAGAAATCAAAACCCACCTTCAAACACCTCTAAAGCTTTTTTAATCAATTGTAATATCTGAATAAGTAGTTAGTTAGTTTGACAATCAAACAAACAAGATATAAAGGGTTGAATTGGTCATTGTGTTACCTGTGGATGGAGCTATGCTATCTGTTCCTATCTATCACAGTCTTTATGCTAGGCTAAGCTAACCAGCTGCCTTATGTAGGCCTACTATGAGAAAAAGTTAAAAGGAATAGTTTGACTTTTATAAAACATCGCTTTCTTGCTGAGAGTTACATTTCTCAAATTGGGATCAATAAAGTTCTATCTTACTCTAAATGATGCATCGCAGGCTCATATTTTCAGAACTCTGTCTTCATTCTCTTTTGTCCCATGCAATGTAATGTAATGTAATGTAATGTCCCTTTCATGCATATTTGCCCTCATTTGTTCAGCCTCACAGAGGAATGCTGTCCAGTCTGTTTGTCAGCAATAACAATGCTTATTAAAATAATTGACACGGAAAAAGAAAATGATTTCAAGTTGGAAAGACAAGATGAAACTCCAATAGGTCAGCGAGAGACAACAGACAGCACTTATCTTACTCTACTCAGTATAAACACTTTGAATAACATTCCCACAGAATGTAGCAGGGACATTAAACACAACTCTAGGAATTCTCAAAGATCTTTGTCAGTCTCTAATTACATGGAAATTAGGTTGGGCATTATTACAAAGGCAGTGTTAGTGATGGATTGTTTTAGGGTGTAGGCTGCAGACAAGAAACAGTAGAGAACAGGGTGGAGTAAAGATATCAGTTCCGTCACAGTACTGAGTAATAAGGAGCATTACAGCTGATAATTACTGACTAGATCTCAACAGTGAGGCAGGGAAAAAGAAAATGGTGGATGAAACATAACACTCTAATTTTAAAGTACCATTTAGGTGTTTATTTTTTTTATAATGTTAAATGGACCCTGTTTTATTTCACAGGATTTGAAGATCATGTCGATGACTCAGTGATTACTCTGCCAGGCGCTCAGATTAGTGGCTCCAAAGTTCATTTTTAAACCTGAACCCTGAACTCTCCGCCAGCAGGAATGTCAGCACACCTTGAGTTTCTTCCTCCTGCCAGTCATTAAACAATTCACTTATAAAGACTGACAGGGCCTCGTACTCGAGCCTGTGCTCGTTTTATATCACCAAGATTTATCGCTTCTTCGTGTTGCAGTGGATGTTGCTGTTGGAATGCATGCAGCTGCCGCTCTCTACCTATAACCACATGAAAACCTGTGAAAAAGACCTGTAACCACATGAAACACACATGGGATAATGGTTTACAATAAAAAAAACGTTCCACGTTATATTTCACTACCAGCTTCAATTACATGACAACTTATACTTTAAAAAACAGGTTCATGTGGTGCTCTCTTACCAGAATATGCCTGGCAGGCCTTTTTGATGTTGTGTGGTTAACTTTACTTTACAAATACAGAGATTTCCACTGGGTTGTAACCAATACTTGACTCTGAGGAGAAGACCAATTAATGAAAAATCCTGAACAAATCATTAGATGCTAAAGCCATAGATCACTAAACAGTTGGGATAGTTGGAATTTATTCGAAAATGTCTTGCAGAGAATGAAATGAGAAGATAAAGATTTACTAATGTTGTCATCTATCCTAGCAAGAGCACATTCTCTAAATGTCAAACTAACACAATTGATCTAATACCAGATGTTGTTTGTCGTACTGAGAAAATGTCCTTTATTGCAAGTGCAGATTCAGAGATGCTTGTAGTAACTGTAATATCATTTTGCCACACTGAACCACAATATAAGAATTTCTCTTTAACTCCACTGTGATGCATTTTAAAGTTTAAACTATAACCCAGTAAATGGAGCATCTGTACTTTTAGCATTTAAGGATGACATTCACATTTACAATATTTTCCATATTTAAAAAAAATGGTTATTGCACAAACAGTTTCCTATAACAACACAATGTAACATGATGGTATTCCTGCTTGTTTTATCTGAAGGATTTAAGTTCTTTCTTGACCTTATTGACCTTTCTCCTCACAGCAGCAGCAGTGGCAGAGAACATTTGCTTACTAAAACCATGAGACACGGAGATGAAACATCGTCTTGACATGAGATAATGCACGCTGCTGGGGAAGTGACATCATGTAACGTTAAAGAAACAGAGGGAGGCGACTCGAGGCGGGAACAAGACACACAGTCTGAGAAGCGGCTGACCACAGAACATTTCCTAACAACACTTCTTCAACTTTTGCCATGATTTCGGAAACTAACCATTAGATCTTTAGACACATTTGAAGCCTTACTTTGATTTTTCCTTTTTTCAACCAGGAACAAGAAACCATGACAGACAGGAAACCAGGCAGCATTAACACACACTTTCAGTCACCCACATGCAAACACACTCATTCCCAGTTAGCTGCTCATGTGGCTGAATCCCAGCTGTCTCAACAAGCCCTGAAGATGGATCCAGGCCACATTTCAGAGAAGTTTTGGCACTGTAATGATTTATGGAGCACCTGCAAAACTCTCAATGAACATGCGCTTTGCCTATGTTAGTCAAATATTTTACAATCCAGGAAAATCCATTTTTTGTGTTCTTCCAGGAAATTGCAGTGAGTTGTGTGCTTCTCTAAAATGCTTAGCAGTGTTTAATAATTAATCTCGAAGCTGAGAGGTACAAAGTCAAGTCCTCTAAATCCTCCTCAGAGGCACCCAGTTTTTATTGTATTTATTTAGTTGCTTTTAAAAGTTTTATTCACCCAGACGTCATCACATCTTCAATTTAGTTTGGGCATGTTTGCCTGTGGAAATCAAAAAGGATGACTGCTTCATTACATAAGCTCATATCAGTTAGTCAAAGGGGAAAACAGACAAGTCCTGTCGTGATCTGTTCGCTACCTCAGAAATAGAATGCATTGGTCATAGATTGATTTCCTGTTAACAGACGTAATGAATGCATGCAAACTTTGTTAAAATAATTGTACAGTCTGATTTATTTCTCATGAAATGCAGCGCAATTGATTTACAATCACAACAAATGGAACTATATATTTTACAGGCAGATGAAGAAAATATGCAGTTTTTTTCTGAAATGCAGATGCGACTGGAAAACAAATTTGACTCTTCATTTAAACAAACAGGAAATCATAATCAGTTATTAAACATCATCAGTGTTTAGCCCAGTTTCCATGTCTGAAGATTAACATGACAACTTCGAGGGACCACAGACAGTGAGTAAGAAAACTCTGAATCATGTTTTGTTCACACCTGTAAACTCTCCATTAGATATGACTCAGAAACGTAACATCTGTAACAACAAGTCTGTCTCTCTGTCATAATCAGTAAACCATGCATATTAGTTTTTCATATTTTATGCCAAAAGAAAAGTCAAAAAATATGAATAAAGCAAACAACTTTTTTGTGACCTCATTTAGTCATATGAATAAAGCAAACAACTGTTTTTAGTTGTTGTCATTGTTGAAGAAAGCCTGAAAATCCAATGAATGTCAGTCAAGAATCGGATGTGTGGCTCTAAATCCATATGAGAACAAGACAAGACATTATTTACATAAAAGCATCTGATATGACTCTCTGCCTATAGCTGCTGTCTTCTCGTTCCTCGATGGGGTCTTCGCTCAGGGAGTAAAATCCTAACCTCTGCTTGTGCTTCTTCTTGGTGCCCATGACATTGGGATTGAAGAGGCGGCTTATTGAATGCAGGCCCTTTGAGAGATCCGGGAACAGATCCAGCTCTTCTTTCTCAATCTGCACTATGTCCGGAGCCTGTTGAACTTTGGGTTCACCCAGCATCTCTCTCACAGTCTCAGAGATGCCCCCGTGCAGATAGTGGTAGGCCTTCTTTCCGCAGTTGTCCCTAATTCTTGGATTGGCACCGTGTTCCCCCACCAGCATGGCCATGATGTACTCCTGATCATGCAAAGCGGCAATGTGCAGCGGAGTGTAACCTCCATGTGTTTTCGCATTAATGTCAATGTCCACTCCTCCTTGCCTGGATAGGTCAATAATATTCACAAGCATTTCACTGTTCCCACATTTGGCTGCCCAGTGCAGAGCGGTGAACCCTGACATGAAGTCCCTCTTCTCGGCCAGTTGGCTGTCTCTCAGCAACAGGCCGTAAACTTGGCTCCAGTGGCCGGCGGCACACTTGACCAGCCATTCATGCTCAGCTTGCTCCAAGGGAAACAGAGAGGGGCCCCTTGTCTCCTGATCCTCTGACGCCTTGGTGCTCTTCACTGACCTCCTCAGCTGGGGCGAGCTAATGCTACTGTCCGTCTCCGCTGAACTTCTCTTGTTCCTGAAGGAGTCCAGCTTCGGGCTTTTAGGAGGATCATCTGGGTCTAATTTTAGTTTTCGGATCTCCACCATTGTAGTGCTGGGTGGCATCCTCAGAGGTGAGGCATATGGTTTGCTCTGGATCCTGGTGGGCTCATTTACCCTGCTTCCTCTTGAATCTTCATTTGTTTCCTGCTTCTGGATCTCAAAGTTTAGCCCTCTTTTAACTCTAACACTCGTAAATTTGCTTCTTTGCAGTACCTGCTGTATAGAATAAACTATTTCGGTAGGATTGTCACTTAATTCACTTTTCTCTTCTTGATCAGGATCGGAAACAGCTGATCTCTCCCCTCCTGCTGCCTCCTCAGAGCCTCCAGTCTCCTCACCCTTCACAGGTGGGCGCTGCTGCTCACCTGTCCGCGGGATCTCTTTATTTTCACCCTTCTCCACACGGATCTGTTCAGTCTGGGCACCGTCCAGGAAGTGCTGATACTTTTTCCTGACGACAACGTACCGGACACCGTCGATTTCTTTGACGAAAGCGACATTGTTAACGAAAGTCTTGAAAAGCTCCTTGTTCTGTTCTTTCTCTGCGGAATCTTCGCAGTTTATGGAGTCTTTGAACTTACCCACCAAGTCGGATTTCTTCACTTGCCCCCCCTCCGCTATCAGCAGAGAAAGGACGGATTCTTGCGTCAAAATCATGATTTAATCTGTAGGATTTACGTGGATAAAAGTTAGAACTTCTACCTCCCACAGCCGCCCTGTTGCTGTTACCTTTGTCCTGTGAGAGTACAGCCTCACCTGGCCGCGCACTTCTCTCCTCCCCACCTGGAGGAGTCTTTTCCGGGAGAACGCGCAGACGTGGACACAATCTGAATAATACATGCATATTTTTTTCTAAAGGCAAAGTGGCTGCGAGATTACAATTGAAGACTAATAATAGCATCACCTTCATTTCTCTAATAAAATAAAAAGTTAAAATAAATGTACAATAAATGTTTAAACAAGAACATGTGTTTTTATCAGCTTCAAAATTCCTATACCCCAAACATACACTTTTCCCCATGATAAGTTATGCACATAATAATTGCAATAATAATAATAATAATAATAATAATTAAAAAGTACTTTTATTCAAAGGCAAGGCAAGTTTATTTATAGCACCTTTCAACACGACAATTCAAAGTGCTTTACAACAATTAAAGACAGTAAGATCATTAAGAAATGGTGCAGGGGAAACACATTATTAAATGGCAAATGTAAGCATTTTCAGCAACGTTTTTTTGCCCAAATATTACCATGCTTTACTAAAGTCTAAGATACAGCCCTTAACATCAATAATTGGTGGGGCCCCTAAACACACAAACACAAAGTTGTAAATGTTTAATGTAAGCTGGATGCCAGCATAAATCTGTGAATATAATTTACACGTCCCAAAGGTACCAGCTACACAGTAGGCTACAATACACACAACAACATAAACACTGATTTTAATAGGAGTTAATTAAACACAATATTGGAGCAGTGTCAGATTGCTTTATCTGAATGGCTGACTCTCACTCATGTACAATGTGACCTCATTTAATAATTTAGAGGTCCCATGTGTCATGCTTTTTCGGTTATTACCCGTCCCCTTGTGTGTTATGAAGGTTTTTATGCATGTAAACGGTCTGCAGAGTCAAAACCCTCAAAGTAGGGAGTAAAACTCTAACACAAAACGCCTCTTTGGAGATTTCTCATTTTCCATTGTTTACTTCCTGGGTACTCTGACGTGGGGATACCCAGAGGCCACACCCTCTGCCAGCCTTTCACGAAACAAAGCTTCCCAAACCTTTCAGCGATTCATGCCGGGTACAGCGTAGGGCACTGAAGAACGATGCTGTTCCTACTTTGTTTGGACCAGCGGGCGATTCGGGTACACAACCTGTAAGTATTCATTGTTGTTTGTGTATTTATGATGTTTAAAACAAACAAGGTATCTACTACGACTGTTTTAATGGGTAAACGTTTTTCGGGCTTCTACTTTGGGATTGCGGAGAAATGCTCTCCGCAGACCCATGCTCACAGCGTTATAATCAATCAATCATCAATCAATGTTTATTTATATAGCCCAATATCACAAATGTTACATTTGTCTCAGTGGACTTCACAGTTTGTACAGAATATCAGTATGACAATACGACACCCTCTGTCCTTAGACCCTCACATCGTACAGGGAAAAACTTCCAGAGGAAACCCACAGTTTAAAGGGAAAAATGGGAGAAACCTCAGGGAGAGCAACAGAGGAGGGATCCCTCTCCCAGGACGGACAGACGTGCAATAGATGCCGTGTGTAAATTGAAAAGATAATACATTTGCAACATAGGAAACCTTTTTCTTACTCAATATCAAGCCACACTTATTGTTTTTACTTCGGCTGTGAGTGTTTGTCTGTGCTCAGGATGAGTTTCGCTTGTTCTCGCTGTATCGCCGACCCGGAAACCTGTCTGCTCCTCACAGCAGCTCGCAGCAGCAACGAGCCTCTCAACGTCGCGACCAATCAGAGCACACTGGGCTCACAGGGAGGGGGGGCAGGAGCTCCAACAAGCCGTTTAGGACAGAGAGTGAATACACATACTATACAGAGATGCTGTATGAAAAACCAATGTGAGTTTGGAAAATTGCACAGTATAAATATTTTAGTATACTTCCTCAACAATGGAATTATGATCAGTAGAAATGGCCATGACATGGGACCTTTAAATATTGATGCACTCTCTAGAAAACGGGCACAAGCAGACATAGTTGTATTGAAGCGGTGATTATGTGTTTTACTATCTCTCCCGCTGACACACATATTTGTGCTCTGTCGATCTGCGGTGCTGTTAGCTCATGTTCTGACTTGTAATGTATGCATGACATTCCTGGGTTGTGAACGATTGTGAATGGGAGTTCTCAAGAAGTGGCCATATTGGAACACATCTGACACACTCAAAGATCTAACATGGACGTCAAGACAGTTCTCCTCCTACTCTAACGTACGCATACACTTTGACCGCGAAAACACCTCGAGGCTATTTAAACTGCTCCAAATTAAAGATATATAAACATTTATTACGGAGGGACTTTTATATGGGGAATAAAACAGAATCTTAATCAAATAAATCGCGATTGCTCGTTAACTGTATGACACACTCTGCGCATTAGTACGCATGCGCATAACTGAAAAACCTGCCGAACCGCTGTTACGTTTGTTTATCGACTTTTTTAACCGACTAATTGTCCTTCGCTCCCAAGATATATAGTAAAGATTAATAACACATTACTTTCCCTCTCTTGTCAAAGTCGAATTGACGAAAAGAAACGATGAATACGCCTGTCTGAGCGAAGCAGAAGCGAAGTAGCAGGGAGTCATCTTGACGCCTAGCTTAGTAGCCTCCCTGCCCAGTTAGCAGCTCCTCTCCGTCTTGTGTCGCTCTCTTCCTATCTCTGTCAACGGCTCAGTAGTTTAGCAGTACGGAGAGACGAGGGCTGCTCCCTTTCTGCTCAGTTAGCCCAGCACACCGACACCATACATTCCGCCACCATGGCTGCCACAGATGTTGACGTGTTTTCGGTAAGTAAAAGCCACGGGGTTCCTTTTTTTGGGTCCATAGCAACCGAAAATATTGCATGTGTAGCTGCAGGAATACTTGGTAGTGATTAGTAAAAGTGTGTGTGTGTGTGTTAGCTGCTGTGAAGCTAAGCCTCCCCCGCTTGGGAAGCCTGTAATGTGGCCGAGATGGTGGAAGTGATTTCTGTGATGGAGTGATTTTTATTTTTAGACCAATTAAGATGACCCTGCATATTGTTTACTATATATTTTTGTCGTGTCCTGTTTGGTATTGCTCTGCCTTTCTATATCTTAGTATGTATTGATAATGGGCGTATTCAACTGTTTACTATTGACGTTATTAGGAGTGGCCGTAAACGCAACACAGTTAGAAAGGCTACTATTATAAGTGTATTTGACGATATAAAATACCATGCTGTATTTATTATCTACATGTAGATAGCAGTTACTACAGTGTGCTGAGCCCTGACATGTGTTTCATTGTAACTTCCTGTTAGGGTAATTAAACTTCACTTCTGTTGTCTCGTAATGTGACGTTTACACAAAATGTCATTTTAGTTTTACCAGCCATACTGTATGCTAAACCAGCTCTCATTACGTTGCATTAGGTTGGGTCATACTATCAGATGAGAGTGGAATGTATCCTGCATTTTATTAATTGTGACAAGCCCTGTTGTCAGTCAGGTCAGGTGTGTTACAGTTCAGGGATGCAATACAGGTTTACAAAAATAGTAGTAAGAGAGTCAGCCCTCAAGTATGTCAATAATTCACACAACAAAGCATTTCAAAAGCCAATATTATGGTGATGAGGCGGATACACAGGAGGGGATTAACATTTTGTCAGATGCTTGAAGAAATCCCTGGGGTGGTGAATTGGACAGTAATCACACAGTTTTAGGGATAAAGAGATTAAGAACACACTCCAGGGCCACTCCTCTACCACCTCTTGGTGTAACACGTCTGGGAAGAAAGGATCCAAAAAAGGAGCATAGGATATTGCACTCTTGGCATTTCTTAAATTAGGAAGGTGTCCAAGAGGGGATGTAGGTTGCCAAGGATAATGCTGACTTGTGATTTTTTTGAATGGATCCTTTGGAATACAAAATAAGACAATTGATTAATGAGAAAAATGCTGATATTGCAGTGAAACAGGCCAGTTGAACAACATTGTTAGCACAGTGTCCTGACTGTCTGTCCGACTTCCTGCCTAACTTTCTGAACTAAATTGGACTGTATTGAACAAAGTTACTCGCCTTGCAGGTTGTGTAAAGAGCACGCTGTTAATCATGTTAAATTATTGATAGGGATGTGTGGTTGGTTGGCTGCACTGTTGACCCTCATCAATCGTAGATTTGGTATAACTTTCTAGGACAGATCCGCACATGGCGATCAATGGAGGCAACTTCCTATCTATTGTTTTCCCTCATTGATTGCATTATAGAGTGTGTAGTGTAGAACATGAGGCTGTTCATTTAAATGGTTATGTAATGAAATGCCCGACAACATATTTAGCATGTACACTACAGTGCTGCTTACTGACCCCAAAGATTATTGTCTCTCCCGTGAGGCCTGCATGCATAAAATGAAATTAGCTTCATAAATTGCTTAAAGGCAGGAGACAAGGAGTGAGGAATTATATGGAAAGTTTCTTTGCACTTTAAAAAGGCAGCTTTTGCTTGTTTGTGCAGAGGGTGATGGTAACTTGTGAATATATTATCTAAATGTGTGCTTTATTCAGACTACATTTCTTCATTTGAAATGCATTCCTGTTGTTCAGCTGCTCACAACGGACTGCAGGTTGACTGCACTGACTGTCGGCAGTGATGTTGGCTGTATATATAGAACATACAGGCCACAACAGCCTAAAGGCGAGCGTGTCAAATCAGATGTTGTAGATGAATGATGACAGCCAAGCTGCAGCGTCTCTGTTGAGTCAATATCCATCTATAGATTCAGTCATGCTCAGAAGACATGTTTGGAGAGTAATAGTGATGCTTTAGAATAGCTTATTAAATAATGTTGGAAAAGTATGAATGAATATTTAGAGGCAGCTATGTTTTGATATTGAAATTCCATAATTCAGTTTGAACAAAGAATGCAAAGTTCACCATAAAACGTAGTCCGCATTGAACAGCTGTTGGCCTGGAAGTGATACCTTATTCCTTTTTATGTTTAATCATTTCAGCACCCAGTGAATCTATCGACAGTCATGTGTGCTGTTGAAAGGCTTTACAGCTTCAAGTGCCTTACATTTCATGCAAATTTGCTTCACATTGGATACGAATGTGTTTTCCATCGGTATGAACAGAACAAAGCCTGCATGGAGTCACATTTCTTCAATTCTTTTTAGATTCTTAGACATGCAACTTGCGCGAGGCATGTGAATGCTGACTTGGCTGAGATGGCTCTAGCAAGGGGGGGGGCAACGACACAAGAAACAAAATGGGGAAAAATGCATTTGCTTACTGTAGTCAAAACAACATGAGCACATGATGAATGACATCTCTTGTTTTTTCATCTTCTTTTGAGTAATCATAGCATGACAAAATGAAAGCAGGATTTCCTGCATCCAAAAAGAGTGTAGAAGAGAGTCTAGATCTTAAATACTTACCCTTAGTGTGTGTGAAGGTTTACATGCAATGAGTTTTTGCCTCTAATTGATAAAGAAATTACAGAAGTATATCTTTTGGCTAAAATATAGCTCACAGGACAATAAAAATGATTTCATTACGATACATTATTCATCTTTCTCCTTTCAGTTTTAAAAGGGAAACTCGGTTCCTGAAAAGTCATTTAAAGATAAGTCTGTCTCGTAAAACAGTTCCTGTCTCTCCCGTCTCTTATTTTTGTGTCCTTCCTGTTGGGCAGAGATGAGTGATAAGGCTGAGCAGTAATGTGGCCATACAATGGTTTCGCGTGACTAACAAAGAGAGAAAAAGCGAGGGCATTTGATTAGATAATAAAGTAAAGTATTTTTTTATCTCCGAGCTTTTGAATTCCTGATGGCACACACATGACGTCCTAATCTCAACCATTAACATTTTTGCCACAACGACATTACCGCTAGCACAAGTAGCAGCATGAGAACATATGTATAACAAAAACTGAGTAATAAGTATATTTACTGTATTGTTTGCTGTACCATTCAACACACACTATTACAACTCAAGGGACAACAAGCACTTTCATAAATCTATGTAAAGGTCATTGAACAGGAAGTGATATCACCTTTATATAAAGAGTAGTGTTGCTTAAACGTAGTTCACTTTAACACCTACACTTAGCTCGGACTGAGTTCCCCAATCTGTCCACCAACCGCACACTGTGGTCGGTAAAAAGATGACTCACCCTTCAAAAACCAACTGAGTATTTGTCATAGAAGTCACGATTTTTAAAAATGCATGTCAGCAGTTTCATATGATTGTTTTCATTAGGTATAATCCATAGTTTGGAAATGTTTGTGATCAGTCTTTTTGTCAATCAAATAATACATTTTTCCTTTAGCCATCTTTCTGTTCTCAGGTCCAACTCATGTTGCCCCCACCCCTTTTGCTTTAGCCTCCCTGACCTTTATAGTATACAATGCAGTAATAAGAATACATGTCATGCTTCAAAAACATGAACAATCATAAATTCTTTATAATCCTGTCTCAGTATGTATAGGGCGTATATGTCTATCTATAGTGGGAAGTACCTAAGAAAGTGTTCAAAGGAAAAAAATACCATTTTGAAAATATGAAATACAATCTGTCTTAATATTTAATGTGAAAACAAGCCGTTTAAGAGAAACTAGTTCACTAGTACACAAAGTGCACCTCAAGTTATTGTAAATATTTGAAGCCTTTTCAAAGCAATCCTTCCCTGGTTGTGTGTGTGGCCCCCCCCCACACACACACACACACACACACNAGTGCACCTCAAGTTATTGTAAATATTTGAAGCCTTTTCAAAGCAGTCCTTCCCTGGGTGTTTGTGACACACACACACACACACACACACACACACACCCCCCCCTACATACATGCTGCAGCAGTGTGTGTCCCTGTCTGTCAGGTTACTGCTGTCCGTCAGGGGGAGGCTCACTGAGGCTGCAAACCCAAGTCAGACTCAAATCAGGTGGGGATGGAGTCCAGAAGGCAAGAGGGAATCTGAGGAGGGGATAAAGAGACAGCAGGAGAGGGGATGACTCAGAGGACAATTTCAGGTCATGTTTGAGCTTTTCCCCAAAAGTGATGGGTGCAAAAAACATCTTGGGTTTGCCCTCAGTTTATGTCGGGTTAGATCTGTGTCACATAACTTTCAGTAAGATGATGCTACAGATTATGCCTTGAGCTGATATGGTATTTTAGCCATACAAGTCATTTTTAAATACTTGTTAGTTACATTGAGTTGAAATAAAAATTCTGGACAAATATATTTTCAAACTGGGAGGTCGGTCAGAATAAAAGATGGGAAAGACGTGAGGCAAAGATACAGCGTGAGGTGCATGCTGGAAGTTTGGCTTATCGATTTGGTCTGCTTATCAACATGGTTAGCGGTTAGAGCGGCAGTGGTTCTTATAAAGTCATACCTCACATATGAACACATAAAGATGCTTTTATTTCTAGACAAGTTTGACTTGCACTCCCGTAGGATATCATTATAACGGATGTTGGACGCAAAGAAACGTACACAAATCTCATTGTGAATCAGAGAAAAGAGATGCCCCTCACAACTCATCAGGAAATCATCATGTTTTAAAGTTATCAAGGGACTACTTTGCATATCACAATTTCCTAATTTGCTAAACAAAATAAGTATTTCTTTTTACTTCATAGATTAATTAGGTTCTCAGCAACATAATAAAAAAATACATCTACAAAGTCATTAAACATTGACTTGAACGATCTACAACGACAGCTGACACTGTTAGTCATTCAGAGCGTGGGAGTACATAGGCTACACACCATGTAGCTGCATTTATTTGACTTATTTTCACAGGAGAAATGTTGACATATTGTAATAAAAGCACATGTGTTACTTATTACGTTAACAATGGCTCTGTTCTGTTCAAGTGTCTCGGTAAGCGATGACAGTGCGACAGCATGCACAATACCAGAACCCTGAAAGTGAGAAGACTGAAAAAGGCCTACTGCTGACAGAAAGAAGCTTTCCACTTCAGCCAGCTACGAACACACAGCATTGTGAATTAGCTTATATGGTTTGTGCCTCATTTGACTTTGAGCCACCTGGGGCCCCTCTGTGAAGCCATTTCCTGTTCGCCTGGTGATACTGAGGCCTGAGAACTGCTGCTGTTTCCTCACTCTGACACAGCTAACCAGAAGCTTTTCATTCCTCTCATACTTTACGCTGCTGCTCTTTACTTCTCTGAACTAGCTTTGGGTGGTAAACAGATGCCTGGTTACTCATTAACTGATGTTTGTTGTCATTAAATGTAAATATTTGTGGAACTTAGTCAATCAGGTTTATTTTTAGCTTTGTGATGAATGGTTCATGTCACACAGTTTGCTCTGCGCAAAGCTTGGAAAGAGAGAAACATTTATTTATTTGTACGAACTATGCAACCAAACTATAACCAAGAACATAAATGACCAAATATGGAGATGTTTTCACATGACAACAGTGATATGTTGTTGCTCTAACAAGGGCTGCTCGATTATGGCAAAAATCATAATCTCGATTATTTGGGTCAATAATTGATATCACGATTATCCATTTACTTTGAAAACATCAATTTATTGGAGAAAAAAATGCAAACAGTATGTTTTTAACAGTTGATTACCCTGAACTTTAAGTATAGTTCAACTGAAAAACCAATACAAAAAAAAAGTAATAATAAAAAAAAAAATCGTTTTATTTCGATTACGTTGTTTTCGTAATCGTTGCAAGCCATAATCGTAATTGCGATTTAAAATACGATTAATTGAGCAGCCCTAGCTCTAACATACTTATTATACTGTATGCACATGCACAACTAAATCGACTTACATGGAAGCTAAGTGTTTTCTGTTACTTTAGAATGATGCTCTTCGACATTTCAAAGGCAATTATTATACGTTTTACTTTATGTAAGTTTACAGATATACATTTTTTATGTGATCCACTTTTTGTTTTTCATCTTCCGTTTCTGTAAGTCTCTTTTTCTTCTTTTTCTGTGAAGAAACCTGCCAGTGCAGCCAGAAAATTGCAACCTGTTTTTCAATGCTAATCAACTTTTGTAAAAATACATTTAAATTTGTTCCTAATCCTAATGCACGGTCTGCATTATTCATCTTTGCTTTAAGCTACAGACACTCATTTCTAAAACATTTCTAAACAAGCAGATTTAATACAAAAACTTAAAAATGTTACTTCACTGACACTTGTTTCATTTGTCTGAACCTGAAAATGTGTTTTTGTAATTCTAAAATAAGATAAGCCTTAATTGAATAAATACATATTGAAATAAACAATTTTCCGAACAATGAGTGCCTATACTCACACTTTTTTCTATTGAGCTGATAATACTTGTGTTATTGTTTGTTTCTTGTACTGCTACATCACATACTTTTACTCCAGTAAAGTATCGTGTTACTTCTTCCACCACAGACTCCAGTACACCCTCACATATTCAGTCAGTTAGGTCACGTCTTGGGGAGTTTCTGTCCACGTCTGCACTTCTTTTCCCTCTGATCCTTAAAGATAACACTGCTGGTCAGGTCTGCCTGCTCTTTCTGTAGCCTTCAGTCTCAAACCCATCTGCCTGCTGCGATTAATACACACACACTCACACACAGATAATGTGCTACTGACAGCTCCGTCTGCTTCAGTGTAGGTCAACCTAGAATTACCTCATGAGTCAGGATCTTTGTTATTTTTCTAAATGTGATAGTTTCAACAATGTGGTTTTGTAAATGTGCAGCAGTTACCACAGAAACCATGTTTATAAGGCCTCATGTAAGGACAATGTATTGAAAAGGCACAGTCATTTCATAGAAGTAAGCCTGTGTGAACAGAAGTTTAAAAGTCCAGACTTGTGGTGAAAAAAAAAGAAGAAAATCCCCACTCACACAAAAAATGTTGTCAAGCTGCCCTTAAGCAAGAGTCCTAATCACCGTCTGTGTGAAGTCAGGCAGCTACAGTACCATAGTCTACCATAGTGTTGATGGAAAATGGGCATGCGTAATATAAATTGTTGAATTTTAAACTCAACTCAGGAGTCCAGAGGGTCATTGCATCGGTTTCCTTCTAGGCCTGACACCAGAGTTCACACCCTCCGCCTTCAGCAATCTATCCAATAACTCACTCCACAAGCTTCATTCATCCAACTGAACACCACAGAGGGAAGCAATAATGCGGCTTGACAAGCGCCGAGTTAACAATGATTAACAAACAATAAGGCTCTCCTCCTTATCCTTGTAAAGGCCACAAACATCCCATTCATTTGGGTGCTTTTGTTCAAAGCGACTCACAAAAAATGCATTCAGACAAAAAAGGGAACTAGTAGCTAGATTTCATTCAAAAAATGTTTTTGACTGGCTATGCTGCTACCTGAATTGCCTCCGCTTGATTTGATGTATAAGACGTGTTTAACCATTCAGCTTCTATGGATTTGTTGTGTTACTGTAATGCAATGAACTTACAGCATGCTTCAGCTCACTATTGCCTAGCTCAGCTCATGTGAGATTACTCCACTGGTGTTAAGCCCCTCTTTCCCCCCCATATATTTATACACACACACACATTTCTCATCCTTTATTGTACAGTTCAATCAGGTTTAGAACGTATCTACTGTATATGCAGCGCCTGCCTCCCCCTCTCAGTTGAATACAGTTGTACTCCGCTCGCTCGCTGCCTGTGCTCGGTGACATCACCCTTCAAATATGCAGTCCTTCGTGGCTGAGCCAGAGCAGCTCGGTGGCCCCATTCATCTCAAGGTGCTGTCTGTCTGCTCCTCTGCAGCTCCACTCTCTTGTCGTCACTAACTGTCTCTCCTTCAGATGGGTGAGATAGGGGAGATCAAAGGTGAAAACGCTTACGACCCAATCGTTTTCTCTCTCGGTCTTAAGTTGGTTGTATATCTGTGAACGCTGTGCTTTTAGTTCCAGTATGCAGCACTCTCCTAAATGCAGATTGATTTTAGTGTGGTTGTGCAGCAAAGAAAACACAGTAATGATTGGTGATTGGTGATGTTATATGGTGCAGCTGGTTTTGCTGGATTTGAATGTATTGGGAAACATGATAGATGGCTGGTTGTATATCTATATTCACATTGCTTATACCATGTGGCTGTGTTGACCTATCAGTGCTGTGTCAATAGCAAAGAGAAGCTTCTAAATGTTTGTGTTGTGATTATTCAAAACGGCTGCTAAACTTACATCTTGCAACTCCATAAGTAACATGTATTAATAACTGAGTTTATTTCTCTGCACGCTTCTTATAAAGTGCATCTTTCCTCTGGGTGGAAATATCTTTAGCTCAACATGCTTGTGAAGGATTATTCTTAAAGCTCATCCTCCCTGCATTCCCTATCTCATAATGTTAGACGATGAGTTTTACATCTGCCGAGTGTACTCGCTCAGGGTCTTTCATTTGCATAGGAATGTGAATTCTTCCTAACTCCAACTAATGTCTTCCCCATGTGTGTTTTCCTCCCATTCAACCAGAGCAATCTTTTAACGTTTTGTTTTGTTTGTGTCTTTCAGAATGAAGAGAAGCGTAGCCTTAACTTGGGCGGACATGTTGGATTTGACAGCCTCCCTGACCAGTTGGTCAGTAAATCGGTCACACAGGGATTTTGCTTTAACATCCTGTGTGTAGGTGAGTGTCAAACAGCAGCATGTGACCAATGTGTGTAACAGAATGAGTTAGATTAGTAAATACTGTTAATAATTAGCAATTGAGGGAACTCTTGTTGAAAGCTGATGAGTTACTTCTATGTGACTTAAGTGACTAAACCTTCTCTTTCTCTCTCATCTCTCTCTACTTCCTCCCACCCACAGGGGAGACTGGCATCGGCAAATCAACGCTAATGAACACGCTGTTTAATACCATGTTCGAGAACGAAGAGGCGAGCCATTACCAGAATGGCGTGTATCTGCGGCCGCGAACATACGACCTGCTAGAAAGCAACGTCCACCTCAAACTGACGATTGTTGACACCGTCGGCTTCGGTGATCAGATCAACAAAGAGGACAGGTGAGGATGGTACAATGATTATCAATGATGTTAGGATAGTTGCCTTATGAAGCCATTTTTATTTTTAACAGCATTTCAGCGATATATTTGAGTGTGAAGCTGCTCCTACATGTTTACCTGATGCATGATAGCTTAAGCATTGTTAAACTATTGTTTCTGTTTTACAGCTGTCTGATAACTGTAGGAGTAAAAAGTCAAAATATTTGAAATGATGTACAGAAGTATATAAAGTAGCATCAAATGGAAATACTCAAGTTCCTCAAAGTTATATTTGGGTACAAGACTTCTGTAAAACATTGAAAAGCTTCTGAATCAATTTATATATGAAATACTTTCATACCAAATGTAAACTATTATAAAGCCATACAGCCCGTCCACACAGCAGCTTTAAAAAAATCTTGAAAATCTTGGAGGTGGGCGTATCTGAAAGCTTGGGGATTTTTTGCGAGCAACGCGACCAACAACCAATCACATGAATCTCCTGCCCCGACATACAAAGCAATAGCAATGTTAAAACGAAGTACACTGGATATAAAATCCCCAAACAGGCGAAAACCTACCAGTTTCACCCACTGTCTCTGCCACCTCCCTCCATGCCTGGTTCCTCCGGTTTGTATCCCGGTAAGTTATTAGCGACTGGTCATAAAGAACCGGGTGATTTGCTACAGCAATAACTAATTTCTCCTCCATTTTCAGGAATATAGGAAATGAACTGCGGTATGTCTCTCCCAGCTTGCAAGCGGTTTGATTGGCTAGCTTGTGCTGTCAGATTTGCATAAACGGGATTTG